CGCCTTCCTAGGGAGGTGTTCCGGGCATGTCCCACCGGGAGGAGGCCCCGGGGAAGACCCAGGACACGCTGGAGGGACTATGTCTCTTAGCTGGCCTGGGAACACCTCAGCATTCCCCCGGAGGAGCTGGAGGAAGTGTCTGGAGAGAGGGAAGTCTGGGCATCTTTGCTTAGACTGCTGCCCCCGCAACCCGGTCCCGGATAAGCGGAAGAAAATGGATGGATGGAAATCCTTTCACTGACCTTTAGATGTGTTTGTTGAGCCCAGACTCGGAGTGACATTTCAAATTTCAACACAAACATGTTTTTCCTGAAATAATGTCCCCGTCAGTCCCGATAATCCACCGGACACAGTCTGACCAGTGTTAACTTAGCAAAGAAATCTCCCCAATGAATAAGCCACAGCCTGAACAGACAAGACTGCCACAGAAGGAAAAGAAAGCGATGAGGAAAGGAGGAGGATGGATGCAAGAGAGGAAGAGATGTTGGGAGGAAAACCAGTGATGGAAAAGTTAGAAGAAAGAACAAAATAATGGGAAAGGAGAAAAGAGGGGAAGGAAGGGGGAGCTAAAGAAAAGGGCTGGACTTATTAAAATACTGTGCGAGTGTCTCCTCACCGATATGAATGGAGGCAATGCTGGTGGGGCCGAGGCTGAGTGGGGGATGCTGTGGCTCCTCCCTGGCTGTCTGGGCGTCCCCACAGAGGATGCGGAGGTGGGAGGTGAAGGCGTGGCTGAGGGTGGAGCCCAGCTGAGCCCAACGCGTCGACCGATCGATTGAAACTTGGCCCAGCACCACCCGGCTACTGCTACCGCCCTCGGCCTCCTCCTCCAGCGCCTCCACAGGACACATGGACCCCGAACCTTCTGCACCTGAGCACTGGAGATGGACCAGGACCCGGTATGAGTCTGGAGAAGAAGCAAGGAAGAGGGAGGAAGCAAGAGTTGATATTAATCCTGGCAATTCTTTACAACAGTCAGGGGCCAATCAAGGCATTTATTCCATGGATCAGTGTTGAGCAGAAAACACAGACTGTTAAATATCCTCAAATATTATAAACCATATTCTGCAATACAAAGGAAAAGCGACATTCAATGTATATTTACAAAGTATCCACGTAACTCAGCGTTGACTTTTTACTCACAGAGGCTTCATTGCACGTACAGTAACGAGCTTAGGTCTAATGCTTCACTTCAACCACTAGACAAAATGAGAGCAGTATCTCAATTATTTTGTTTTCACAATCGTTGGAAACCAAAATCTTACTAAAAAAATTTTTTGATCAATCGCCCAGCCCTAGATAGTTCATATTGCCCAGGTAATGGTAACTGCTCTCTTAATCACAGTGCTGTGTAGTTTACAATCTGCCAATGTTTTGTCCCATATGAACAGCTCGGCCAAAATCAGGTCAGATCATAACAGCGAGAAAGCTGCTTCAAAAGTCTAACAAATGTCCAGAGGTATTATTAAAGAGGTTAGACTGTGTGTTGTATGATAAGAAGGCTTAAGCAGTCATTCACTGAACATGCATTTGTGTAAACTCAGAGAAGAAACCAAATGGTGCACATGACTGATGCACCTTAGAAACCTTCTCTGATTTACACTGGGAGTAACACAGGGTGATGTCAGCCTGTGGGCATCCAGCCCCGTTTTGCAATGCTGGACTACATGACTAAACATGACTAAAACTGTATTGTAAACAATAAGACACAACCAAATTGATCAAATAAGACCCAAGTTGTTTAAAAGCACAAATTCATCTTTAAGGCATAAAACCTGCATGTAAACACGACCTCACAAACTCACTGAGGTTTTCCAGTAGATCTTTGCAGTCGTCAGTCGCCACGTCATGAATAGTGCGATTACATTTGTCCCTCCTCTCGATGTCCTGTTCACTGTGGCTGCACAGCACCTCCAGACACTCCTACACACACACACACACACACACACACACACACACACAGGTGACAGGGACAAGATAATTTGATTGCAAAACAAAAAAAGCACGTCAAATACTGCGTGATTAGTATGTGTACGCAGGTAACAATGGCTGTGTAACTACAAACAAGAGTATTTCTGCAACACAGGCTCTTGTGTGTCATGAAGAAACATATCAGTGGGTGGTCTTCATTTACATTTCAGTGGGACGCTCAGTCTAGACTAATGTGCTGGTTTAGGAGGAGAGGGAGGTTTCCAGCCAGCAAGGTCAGCAGTTCCATTAGCCTGCCACTGTGGAGACTGATGGCAGGACTGGACATTAGTGGACCAAGTCTGAGCCAAAATGAAGGCAGAGTCAGTGTATTGTAACACTGTAAATAACATTAGACTGCAGAACAGCAGAAGACCTGTAGTGAAAGCTACAAGTTGAGCTGATGAAGGATCATTGAGATTAAAGTGGTTAAATGATTGTTCTGAGCACTAGGAGGCAGAAGAGGTCCAAAACCAGCAGACAGACAGACCGCTCTGATTCCCAGCTGGGTGACAAACTAAAGGAACAACCACCACCCAGTAACCAGTAAAGACTCGTCAGGGCCGAGTCTGCAGAGCAGCGTCAGGTCTTTTCTGTCAGAGGAGGAAACCTCCTCCTTCCAAACCAGATCCCCTCACTGTGTTCGACCCACTGTGTCCGACCCGCTGTGTCATCCTCATGAAGCCATTCAGTGACCTAGAGTTTTCCTCTCATTTGTCACTTGTCTGTACAATCTCCTTATAAATCTGCCATAATGTATTAGTGTTTACACATTCAGAAGCCACGGAGCAACACTGACTGTTTGTCCATCTGATGTAAATCCAGTTTTCTGCCGGCCTCCTGGTGGGCACAGTGGGTTTATCAGAGCTCCATCATACACTCAGTGTTCTAAAATGCCAAAAGAATGAGAAACATCTCTGCAGAGCTTCACCACGTCCAAGTGCAGTGTCTGCTTACAGCCTTGTAAACGACCGCTTTCACTTTGATTGCGCATAATCAGTTGATTCATTGTAATGACATGTTTTGGGACAACTCCTTCTCACCTTGAGGCCCAGGGCAGCCGCCATGTGTGCAGCCGTCCAGCCATCACTGTTGGCCTGGTTAAGCAGGGCAGCAGGCAGTGCCACGGTCCCGGTGAGGTCACCATGAGGCAGGTGGCAGAGGAGGAGACGCAGTGTGTCCACGTGTCCTGAACGCACGGCTGCATGGAGAGCCATGCAGCCGTCCTGCAGAGGGTGGAGGAGCTCAGTGAATCCAACACTAACTGACTGGAGGTCAGTCATTCCAAATGACAAAATGTTACAGTGCTGTGTTCCAGTGAACATGTCAGGAGCTGAAGTTTAACACTGGAACCAATCCCAGCTGGCTCTAAAACAGTTACATGATTATTAAAAACAGGTAGCGGAGTAATTTTCTGTCAATGAACCAACTGCTTCAGCTCTACAAGCATGTGCACAAACTAATGTGATCTTATTTTTGGTGCTCCCTCTCTGGAAAGAACGCAATGCATTAATCTGATTATGATCTAAGAAAATGCTGAACACTGCCCGTGCATGTACAGTATGTCCATCATCTGCTAATTCACTGCCAGTCTCCAAAATGCCAGATATTTCATGAATGCCTATAAAATGCTGGTCTATAAAACAATGAAAGGCACAAACTGACTTGTATAAATGTTGTAGGAGGGTGAGTGTTATTTACAGACACTGGGTGTTACTGTGTACGTTACAGTAACTTGGCCTGGGCAGTAACAGTAAAGCAGCTAACGGGTTGAGTCCACATTAGTGCCCAACTCTAAGCCGTGTGCTGGATAAATCAATTGGAACTGGACTTTATTCACACTGGTGCATTATGGAAGACACTATTACATAATAAAATTATTAAGCAACTGAGGATCTGTCGTGGACCTTTTATGGAACGCAGTGAGTGAACAAAGAAGCAGGCTCGTGGGTCAGTAAGTTAAAGTACCCGACTTAGCTGCTAAAAATGTCTTTTGTTTATCACCACAGGAGAAAGAGAACCAGTGAATTCATGTTTTAGAAGCTGGATCCAGAGAGACATAAATACACAAAGTTTCTATATTTTCAGTTAATTCTGATTTTCACTCAAATATACCCAGGATTCTTTGAAAGTCATATAACAGTTGTACTGGTTACTGTGGTGAACAGTAAAGTCATCCTAAGGGAAAACAGAGCCAAAACCTGGCTCATTGATAAGAACAATTGGGAAAAAATACTAATCAGCTGCTGGTTCTGCAGCACAAATGTAAAAACCAAGCCACTGTTACTCTGACTTTTAATGTTTTTTTAAATGATAAACTCCAGGATAAAAAAATCCCAGCTTAACAATCTGACTGTACGGCACATTCAGCCCGTACCCTCCTAACCCAGTTTCTAACTCCTCCTCCATGTTAAATCATTACGGTGGAGCCAACACACTGGCCAACATTTTCAGGTGTCTAAAAATACCTCTGTGCTGACGAGGTCGATATGCACCACAGACTCGGGCAGCTCTGTGGCTCAAGTAGGGAAGCCAGGATTAATGTGGAACAAAGCAGCTAACTAAATATAGGGGCTCGTCACATGCTGCCATGGAAACAGGCTCCTATGGTTACCATGGAGATCTAGGAAGCCCATACATCAATGAGCCGGGCAGCCGAACCCGTGAGAACAGTCAGAACAGCAGAAGCAAGTGTGAAACATGAAGAGTGTTGGTAACAAGTGACAAAATGTGAGAAACTCCAGAGCAAGTGAAGAAGCATGGGGACAATTCTGGTCAGTTTCTGGTGGAATTTGATGGAATTTTCAACCTGATATTTGCTCAGAATGTAGTTTATCAAACTAGACTTAAATTCTACAGAAGCAGCATGTGATTTACTTGAATCAATTAAATCTTAATTGTTTGTCTACATGTCAGCCCTGTGACAGACTGGTGACCTGTCCAGGGTGGACCCTGCCTCTCACCCAGTGTCGGCTGGGATTGGCACCAGCCCCCCATGACCCTATTTAAGCGGTATAGATAATGGAAGGATGGATGTGCAGCAGACTAACCATGGTGGTGTGCGAGCGATCGGCTCCGGCGCTCAACAAGACCTGGACACAGTCCAGGCTTCCTGCCTCACAGGCCAGGAAGAGGGGGGTCTGGCCCCCCGTGGCCGCCACATCCACAGCAGCTCCTGCAGTCAGCAGCACCTGCACACAGCTGGAGAGGAGGAGGGCAATGTCAGCATCACATGTACACACACAAGTTAGAGTATTAACAGAGAGGTACACACTGGAGTCTACCGAAAGACCAACAGTCCTGGCAAATACTATTCGCACTAATATTTGTTAATTTTGTATTTTCAGAAGGGCAGGGGCTTCTTCTTGTCAGACAGTGCAAACACTGTGTTTTTAAAGTTTGCATTTTCATTTTAATTTAACTGAGCTCAGAGGTTAAAATAATGATCAAGATCAAAAATAACTTGGCTTATCACATGCATGTACTGCAGGGTGCACACTCACCGGCTCTATGTTTTTGTCCTCTCCAGCTACATACATGAGAGGGTCAAAACATTAGGAACACCTAAGAACATAAAGTTGTCTAGTACACCCCCACCTTTAACTATAACAATAATAAACATATTAAATGTATACATTTATGACAATCCTACCAAAAACTGGAATATGTTGAGCTTCATAAACACAGATGTTAAGCCAGAAGTGTTGCACTGAATTGCATACAATTGCACAGGTGTACCTAATAAAGTGGCCGGTCAGTGAATATGGGCAGAAAAAAAAAAACTGAAGCACTTTAAACTGCAGAAATGAATGTTTTGTGGAATGAATTTCATGTTGTTTGACCTTTACTTTTGGTAAACAAAGTTTGATTTTTAGTCATTTCTATATAACAACTTCACCTGATCACCTTCAACTTCTATGTACAAAACTGTCACCTTTGATAACAATGTTGATCAGTTGCAACAATGCTTGAGTAAGTAAGTAGCTTTACAAGAATGTTTTTATGTATAAACACATATATTGGTGTCACTATGACATCTAGAGACAAAGAAATCAGGCCAATGACTAAACATAGGTGCATGTTCGAGTTCAGGCCATGAACAGCACCTGTTCAGAGACAAGAGAAGAAATCACTCATCTCTCCACCAGTAGTAAAGCAGAACAAGTGCAGCCCAGATCATTTGAGGGAAACTGATCCTGCCTGCTAACACGACCACTGAGTCACGACCACCGCAAACCAGCTAACCCCATAAAATAAACCCTGAGAGTGTGTGTGTCAGCGTGCCTTTTGGATATCCCCACTCTATAAATAACAGTGTGATCAGATATTACAACACTGCACATTCCCCTGCTGGTCCTGGGCCTCGTGTTTTTAGGCAGGCGCACACACACACACACAACACACACACACACACACACACACCCACACTGCAGCTGACGGTACCTCTCTTCATCCCAGTGATACATCAGAACCAGTGCAAGGGATCAGAGCTGACAGCGCAGGAACAGACATTTCCCTCATCGTTAGTAATTCATAAAGAGAGCACAGATGATGTTTGAGAGG